CAACTCTCTTCCAATCTCTGGGCTGCAGTGAGGGCTAGGGGCTGCCAGTTTCTTGGACCAGGTATGTACAAACCAATTCATTAATCCCACTGTTATAACACAGGGATTGAAAAAAAAAAAAAAAAAAAAGGATGTACATCACTTATCTAGATGGTGCAGGCAACTGAACTCCTCAGGCCAATTTACTGAGCAGCAACATCCTTCTTATGAGGCATTACCAATAGGTTTTCTGACTTAATGATAGGTCTTTTGAGTTGTTGGTTTTTATTGTCTGTCGAGTACTATCTGTTCAGTAGGGGTGTGCAAATCGGGCCTTATTTGATTCAGATTCAGCCCAAATCAGGGACAGTGATTCAATTTGTTGATTCGGATCACTGTCCTTGATTCGATTCGACCGAATTGAAATGTGAAGATTCAGCGCTGATTCAGAGAATCAGCGATTTGGACATAGACACCGCTTTACATGTTTTTTCTACATACCTTGAGGTACTAGCGCAGCTTGTGACCGCTGCAATGCTGAGGCGGATGGAACGTCTCACAGGAGCGCGAGGGGCGCCCCCATGTGCTCGGTGGCAAACCTGGAAGTGGGCTGGAAGTCTACTTCCAGGTCGGGGGGGGGGTTGTCATGTCACCTCGGCTTGGCAATTGGCCATGGGGGGACCCTGGGTAGCCCCCTCCAGACCCAGGAGGCACTAGTTGCTGAGCCACGGGAGGGTGAGGGGGGCCCCCAGCGCACTCTCCAGTGGACCCAGAAATGGACCAGAAGTGCTTCTGGTCCACTTTCGGGTCTGCTGCCAAGCATACTAGGCAGCCCCCTTTGCTTCTGTGGGATGCTGCATCTGCCCCAGCATCGCAGCATTCACAAGCCACCTGGTACCTAGAGGTACGTAGAAAAACCATTTAAAGCTGTGTCTGTGTCCAAATTGCCGAATCTTTCCACATCTTTCCGAATTGATTCAGGGGGTTCTGATTGGATTCGGATTTGGAGATTCAGCCATCGATTTTAAGTCCAAAAATATCCTCAAAAACCCCCCTGTGTTTTAATGTCATGAAGAGATGAAGTTGACTGTAGTTTGTGCAGTGAAAGGACAGAATGCTACCAGTCAGTGGCTATGATTTTTCCAGTTCTGACATTAGCTATACATGTGCTCAATCAGGTTTCATAAAACTGATTTCTTGTGTGTGTGTGATGTATGTAAATGTTTCTATTTCAATATTTTTTCTCTAATAAAATGTGTCTGTTTTAACTTTTGAAACATGATGTGGTTATGTTAAGGCATACCCTAATTACAGTTATTAAATGCATTTTCATTAAATATTACAAGCAATACAAGTGTTCTGACAAAATTTGAAACAGTCAATCCACTGAACTGGTAGAACTAAGCGTCTGGAAACAGTTTGTTGAAATGCTAAACCAGCTTTTGGTAGCAAAACCTCTTTCCACCGGTATCCTTGTACAACTTCTTGTTCCACTGCATGGAACAGAGATGCTCAATGATTTAGAGTGCATCTGCTGTGCTCTAGCTGCTTTTTTATGCCTACTACAAATATAACAGCTTTTCTTATTGTACCTGTTTTCTTTGAGGGTATATGCTCTAGTCCCTCTTTGTGTTAAGGTATCTTAGTAGAGGAGAAGGGGTTACTGGTTCCTGCCCCTACTTTAACCTGTTCTCCCTCTCTCCATTAATACCAGAGTGTTTTGGAATAGTTTTTTTTACATTCCCTGACATCTTTGGAGAGAGCTGTGATGATTTTCTCTATTCCACAGGACACAGCATTGGACTGGCTTTTGCATCTGTTTCTGGGGAAACCACAGTAGAAGCGCAAGATTGCCCTTGGTCTTGCTCACTTATCTGTTTTTTGTTTTCTGTGCTGTATTTTCTAGCGATGCAAGAAGAAGCCCTGAAGTTGGTCCTTCTGGCTCTGGAAGATGGATCTGCTTTGTCGCGAAAGGTCTTGGTTCTTTTTGTGGTACAGAGACTGGAGCCACGATTTCCTCAAGCTTCTAAAACCAGTATTGGGCATGTTGTCCAGCTCCTTTATAGAGCCTCCTGCTTCAAGGTATAAAGTAGACCCTGCTTGGTGCAGGAAGATTTTGCCTGTTATATTACAGAAAATATTACATTGGAGCTACAAACCAAAGTCTTCTAAAAAAGAACTTTTATTTCTTTGCACTTTTTCATTCGGTTGTCTAGTTCATAGTAAGTATTATAGGGACTTGTATTTATAGGAAGCATTTCTACTTTTGTCAGATCCCAAAAGTTCAGTCTTTTGGTTTCACTGAGGAAGGGGGGGGACTTAGGCTGAAGTTTGGTTTCAGGTGATGCATGAAATGTGAATTTGGTCTCCATCTGGATTCTAAAGCAGGGGGTCAGGAACATTTTGGTCAGAGTGCCAAAAACACCTGCAACCTTGACTTGAAGAATGTTGGCGTGCCAGGGGCAGATGGTGGGGGAGCTACAAGGGGGCCAGTCCTTGTGGCAGCGCAGCCCCAGTCCCTTCCCCGTCGTCTGCCCCAAGGTGCATGTGCCAACCAAATGCCTTCACATGCCACGCCTTAGCCCTGGTGCTGGGGGTTGCCCACCTGTTCTAAAGTATGCGCTGTATCAATAACACAATACAAGTTTAGCATAATTTTTTGCCTAGCAAGGATTGGTAGTAGAAGAATCCCAGTATGTATTGACTGAACAGAATGGCAGTTAAGATTTGAAATAGCTTGGGGTTCTGTATGTTGAGAATAAGGTGCAAGAAGCCTATACTATTGTTGACTCCAGCCAGTATTTATAGTGTTGACTCCCTTCTCACAGTAGCATAATTAGGGGTGGGAGCCCGGGGCATTAGCCCCGGCACCAATTTTGAGGGGACACAATAATGGTGGCTGCTGTCTCTGCTGGCCCAGCCACTGTCAGTCTAGCCACCGAGGCCAATTCAGCATGTGAGCAATTCAGTATATGAGTATATAGGTAAGCAATTCAGGATTTGAGTATAGGTAAGTTTGTATAAGGACATAATGCATACACATAGTATTATGACAGCAGTTAATACCTTTTCAGAAGGAAGAAATATAATTTAGTAATTAACTTGAAAATTCACTTGCCATTGGCTTGGCTCTGCTATTCAGTTTAACTGTATTCGTTATGGTGGGCTGATTTCTTTCCATCAGGTTACCAAACGTGATGAGGACTCCTCCCTGATGCAGTTGAAGGAGGAGTTCCGAACCTATGAGGCTTTGCGGAGGGAACACGATTCTCAGATTGTGCAGATTGCCATGGAGGCAGGTTTACGGATTGCACCAGATCAGTGGTCCTCACTGCTGTATGGAGACCAGTCCCACAAATCCCACATGCAGTCCATCATCGACAAGGTAAAGCAAATTCAGATCAGCCCTGCTCTTGTCTACGGGTCTCGGTAACTTAACATCAGCAATATACTGATATATTTGATGGACAGATGATCAAACTTAATCAATTTGTGCTATATTCTGTCTTAAGTTATCTTAAAAGTTTTTATAATTGGCATATGTTCATCATAACCAGTTTAACATTGGTCTGTATGTCTGTGACTTGTACACTTTCCTGTCCTTCTGTTCTTCCCTACTGCTTTCACCAAATGGAGAAACCATCTCACAGTGCAGAAGAGCATTGATATCTAGCTGGTTTGATGGAACTTTGCTGTCCTTTCTGAACAGCAAGCTTAAAAAAAAGGAACCAATTTTAATGATTTTGACACTGAAATTGCAGGGTTATTGCTGTTACCTTTGTCCATGTTCCATCTTCCTTTCTTTTGTCTGTGTTGTATTACTTTTGTTTAAACTATGTTGCCAGTCTCTTGGTCCAGGAGCTGTGATACCATTCGATGTTTCTGCATGCTAGTTGAATACAGATGCTTATAAATATTCATGCCGTATTATTAAGGAGAAGCACAAGCAGAGGGTAAATGTTATGGAGTAATCTTACATGTTGAAGATCTTTAAGTACACTCTCTTTTCTAGGAATAGTGAATGATGAAACCATCATAGGTGAAAATGGAATGAAAGCTTAGGGAAGATGAAATGGTGGAACACTGTAAAACAGCAAGGGATGCTTTACCTGTAGAAAGTTAATTATTATAATTTTTTTAAGTTGCAGACCCCGGCCTCATTTGCACAGAGTGTTCAGGAACTAACCATTGCTCTCCAGCGTACTGGAGACCCAGCCAATCTGAACCGGCTTCGACCTCATTTAGAGCTCCTGGCTAACATCGATCCTAGTCCAGGTAAATTGGGGGGCATATAGTGTTTACTTTAATAAAAGGAACTTGCCCTTTCAGGGTGAGCAAAAGGAGGATTCTGTTTGAAACTAGCTTGGCAGAGGCAATAAGTGCTGAGAAGCTAGGTTCTTATTTTGGAACCTAAATTAGATCCAGGTGGAATATCTTCTCAATACAAATGGTGAAAGTTCTTTTATTTGAAACCAGGCTTCATGTATTTATGGAGGTATTAGTAGCGATTCAGTGATTAGTAGCAGAATCTTGGTTCCTTTCTTAGATATTGTACGTAGTCAAATCCAAGATGATTCCAAATTTAAGATGAACCCCCAATAATTAAATGTGGTATATAGAAAATGTATACATTTTGTTAGAATTTTCTATATATACAATCTAATTATTGTAGGAAGGTCATCTTAAATTTGTCCCCCGACTGCTGCTACAGTGAGCCAGCAGTGGGAGGGAGAGAGGATGTGCCAGAGGAAGGGGAGGCAGGTGGCTGTCTTGCCTCCCCCCACAGTTTGTACCCCTGCAGCCTGTGTCCCCTTCTCCTCTGCCTGGCCTCTTGCAGCCTCTTGCCTCCCCAAAACATTGGGTGATTAAGGTTTCAAAGAGGACCTTCCAGATGAGGACCAGTTTGTTCTTGATATCATGACAGTGCCTTCTCTCTGAATCTGCCAAAAAACTCTACATGCAGTTGATGTGCATGTCTGATATTTTATAGCTTTGGAAAGGAAGAATGAACTGAGATTAGCAGCATGATTGCTATTCTATCCCTATGGCAGCAATGAAACTATCAGATATGATAGTTTGCTTGTTGGGGGCTGAGTTTCTCATGGGAGAACAGATAAGGAGAGGTAGAATGTTGGTCAGGTTTTTTTTTTTCTAGTGGCCAGAGTAGTCTTGGAGGAGAATAGTCTATCAGATATTTCCTCCACCTCTTTCTCACTAGGCAGGAAATTGTGGGGGACTGAGATATGAAAGAAAGTTTATTCTCCCTTTCTAGAACTAGAGAAGGATGGGACTTCAAATGTATCTGATGCTTATTATCCAGGAGTTGGTACGTGAAACTACCACCACCCTACCTCCCCTTTTACCACCAATTAAGATCCCAGTTGGGCAAGATTTCTTACCTTGATTTTGCAGTGGGCCACACTCAGTTCAGTTTATATAAATATTCCTCCTACCTGTAGAAGACATCTGATAAATTAAAGACCTAATGAGGAAAATGAAATTCAACTACATTACGAAATTTCTGGAGGCACTTAAATGTAAATAAAGCCCTCCTAAGGTCCTTCCGAGTCATTTTCAACCTTGTTTACTCAAGGCACCCCTTGGAAAATCACTGAGAATCACTGATTCAAAGTATATATGCATGGTGGTATATTGTCAGCTGAATTACATTAAGTAGCTGGAAAAGAAGCTAACCAACTAAAAGCATAAACGCATACCTTTTTCATAGTGACTATTTAATTATTGCCATGCTTTTGATTATAGTTTGTGTTTATCAGATAGCTCTGTTTTACATTGAATGGCCCAATTTGTGTTGCCGTGCAGTGTCTTCAGTTCTAGACTATCTAGGTTAACGTTGATACGGAATGCTGTTACCTAAAGGGATGTCTGTGACACATGAGGTTTTGCAGAGAGAGCAGACTGTTGGATAAGAAGACCTGGACCCAGCCTTCATAAAAAATTCACTAAATATTAGCACATCAGGGAGCTCTTGTCACAGGATTAGCAACATTAAACCAATTTTTGATGCAGTGTTTGTAAAATGTATCCAATAGAACATTGGGGTGAATACAAAAGATTGAATGTAGGGAGTTATTTTGCAAACAAAAGATGTGTGCATATTTATACAGTACTGTCAAAAGTAGAAATATTGAAATAATTTTCCATATCGTCACTAATTTTAAAAAAGCCAAAACTGAATTAGGAGCTAAATTTCCAATGTCCTGAATTCCTGAAATGGTGTTAAATAGTGGCTTGTTGGTGTGACGCTTGGTTGATATGAAGCTGTTTGATATGAAGCCTGGTTCTCTGACCGTGTAAATAATTTAATTCTTTAAGCAATTGGTGCCCTTACATGATACCTTTTTAAGTTCTTTGTTGATATTCCTTTTAAGCTCTCTGTTGATCATTTGTTAAATTTTATTTAACATTTATTGATTTTTAAATGTGTTGATTTTTGTGAATGTATTTCTTGCAGTTTACTACTTTTTTGGTTTCCGGGGGTGGGTGGGTGGGTTGGTTGGTTGATTTGTTTTCTAAACTGAAACCTTCAAAAAACAGTTGTGGAAAATTCTTATTAAGAATAAAGGATTGTGTCTCGTGGATATTTTAGATGCCCCATCCCCAACTTGGGAACAACTGGAAAATGGACTAGTTGCAGTAAGGACTGTGGTACATGGACTAGTTGATTACATCCAGAATCACAGCAAGAAAGGAACAGATCAGCAACAGGTAAAAACTGTTTCTATTTGTATGTCAGATCTGGCAACATGGGTTCAAATGCATGTTGTTAAAACACCTTTGAAAGTCCCTAGTGAACCTTAATCATACTAGGAAATTTGTCACACCACTTTACACAGCATATCAGTTTGAAAAGAGAAGAAAACAATCTACCTGAAGGTAGAGGGAAATTAGCAGGGATCCTGGTTTTCTCTGTGTTAAAAATTACAAATCCTCTGATTTAAACCCCCCCAAATCCTTGATTAAAATGGAACACCACCAGTGCCTTAATCACTATAATAAAATAAATTCTGAGTACCTATAACTTCTCGTATTTCATTTTAGATTTATCATGGAAAATCAGAGCTCCCTCCGACCCCTGTGCTCACCAGGATGCAGGTCCAGGCCCCTCACTCCCCACCCACAGCCCTGTGCCATGCTGCCACTGTGAACTCCACAGTGCCATAGTGAAGCACCCCCTGCCTGCACAGCAGCAATGAGGGGTTCAACTCTGCACCATTGCTTTCACTGCTGCTGGGTGGGCAGGGAGTGCTGCACCAGGGTTTTGTGGAACTTGCAGCGGCAAAGAGCATCCCCTCCCGGCCACTCTGCCCTGCTGCGCTGGGTCCAACCCACTAAGAGGCACTGTGGGGAGGGCAGCAGGGCAGTGAGCCAGAGCTTGCAGTAGACAGCCCACTCCCGCCCTACACACACATCTGGTGGTGCATCTGCCTGCCTGGGAGTGCACGCAGCAGTGGAGAGCCAGCTCCACTCCTCTTTCCCCCTTTCCAGACCAGCTGCCTGTGGCTCCCCACCAGGGCCCTGCAGCCACTCATTCTGGCCCCAAGCCCTATGCATTGTCCCAGCTGGGCATCCGTCCCAACCCTGCCCATCTCCCAGCCCCTCCACCAGAGTTACCTGCAGGAGCTGCTTTCCCGGCTGCCTGGCAGCCATGTGCATGTGTGAGCACGCACATGCACATGGGGCCCCTGTCTCATCTCCTTCTGCTCCCCCCACCAGTCCTTTGCAGGCTGGAACTCTGCTACCCTGCAGAGAGCTCTTTGCAAAAGTGGAAAGTCCATGTATTTCTTCGTTAAAATGAAAAATCCATGGTTTTTCTCAGTTAAAAAGGAAATCTGCATTCTCCCTCCCCCTCGCCCCCCATTTTTTCACAGGATACGGAAAACCTGGATCCCTGGAAATTAGTATGCTAGTCCCCAAAAAGAGCCTAGGTGGTTTTGTGTAGTGGTACTCTGTTTTTACATTGGTTTGGTTTTAAAGCATGTTTCAGCTCACTGATGGCTTTATTTAGTGAAAAAGTATTCCCTGCATTTGTTTGTAATGATTCTGTGAAGTTTAAGGATTTGCAGAATTTTAGATGAAAAGAGGTGTTATAAATTCCTAGGGTGAATATCTTTCAAAAACCAGGTAAGATAACTAAACTATAACTGTAGCTAATAATCACATAATTTACCCAACCTAGTCTCTTGAAAGCAAAGAGGATCAAAATTTGCTTTGGAAATGGTATTTTCCATAGTATAATGCACAAATGGGGTACTTCTACCTCCAAAGTAAAACAGATAAAAACAGAAAAGAAGAGCCCTGTTTATCCATCTTTTATAAAAAATATCCTTCTGATTCTTTGCTGCAGTTGGCCAATAGAGGGCAATCCGTTCTCATAGCCTAGTCTTGTTCTTTCTGATGTAACTGTAAAAATAAATAAAAAATCTCAGAAAACAAGTTGACACCTCCCCTACACCACTTTGACCTAAACGTGAGCAGGATTGGGTCCTGAGCTATCCACGGATAATTACTAACATTGTCTAACTACAAATCTATTATGCAGATACAAACAACACTGGAGAGTTCAGTGAGATCTAACTATGTAGGAAGTTCAGAAGGGTAATAAGTCATTGTGAACTAACAGGAGAATGAAGAAAACTGTAATAATTGGCAGAATTATAATCCGTAACTCAAACAGTTTGATGAACTTCTGCAGATTTTGCAGAACGCTTATTCTTTTTTTGCTTTCTCAGTAAATAGGCAATTTTTAGGCAAAACCAGATTACCAAGCATTATGCTAACTTAAGTGGATAGTTATTTAGTGGGGCATAACATAGACTTACCTTTAGTTGTCACTGAACCACAGTTTGTTCCCTTTAGGGGTGTGCAAAGCTTCGGTCACTGACTTAATTCGGCCCAATTCAGCGGCCGAATTTCCAAATCCAGATTAAATCAGGAGACCCTTTTAATCCTCTCTGAATCTAATTGAATTGGATCCCTCCAAATTGATTTGGGGAGATTTGGTGGTTTGGACATAGAAAAAAACATTTAAAGTTGTGTCTACATACCTCAAGGGACCAGGCAGCTTGTGAATGCTGAGATACTGGGGCGCATGGAGTGTCCCACAGAGCATGGGGGGAGGTCCCCAGTGCGCTCAGTGGCAGACCTGGAAGTGGACCAGAAGCACTTCCAGTCCACTTCTGGGTCCACCGCAGAGCTCCAGACTTCCAGTCCACTTCCCAGTCCCCCCAGCTCGGCGACTATTGCCTCCTGGGTCGGAAGTACCCGATCAAAGTACTTGTGGTCCACTTCTTGGTCCGGTGCTGAGCATGTGGGGGGGACCCCCCCACACACACTCCAGTCAGACACTCCATCTGTCCCACCATCTCAGCGTTCATGAGCTGTGCCTGTTACCTCAAGGTATGTAGATAAAACATTTACAGCTGTATCTATGGCCAGATTGCTGATTTCTCTGAATCGGCATCGAATTTTCAGATTCGGATTTGGCCAAATCGAATCGGGACAGTGATTCGATTTGTTGATTCAGAATGCTGTCCCCCAATTCAGGCCAAATCCAAATCGAATATGGCCCATTTCACACACCTCTAGTTCCCATCCAAGTTTAGTAAGAAGTTATATTATATATAGCAGCAGCTGGCAAAATACAGTTGGCAGGCCGCATCCAGCCCTCCAAGTGATTTTTCATCTAGTCTGTGAACATCCACCAATTAATTGTACCTAGCTCAGCCCACACACTTTGCTCCTATCCTACTGTGTGGGAGGGCCCCAGTCCTGGCCAGCATGCACAGCTTGTGGGCGTGGCTGCCGCTGCTGCTGTCACTGCTGGAGCTGCCAGGAGATCTGCTTGGCTTCCATGGCCTCCAGCAGCTCCTCCTTGTGTCCCTGCTGCAGCGCTCATTTTGGGCAGCAGGTAGGGAGGTGGCACTGGCAGGGAAAAACTGCAGCTGAGCAAGAGCCATGGGAGTGTGGAGCCTGGGGCCCATGCCCAGCAGGGTGGCAGGAGCTCAGAACTCCAGAGTCCAATATAATCTTTTATCAGACTCAACTTTAAAACTTCTGCAGTCACGCATTTCAGTTGAGGCCATTTCTGATTAAGTTAGTAATATGTTCATTTTTGAATATTCTAGTGGAAGAGCATTGTAATCACATTCTCTGTTAATTTTTTATGGTAATTGATATTAAATATTCTTTTTGTTTAACCTGGTCAGCCTCCTCAGCACAGCAAGTATAAAACATACATGTGCCGAGACATGAAGCAAAGAGGGGGGTGTCCCCGTGGGGCCAGCTGCACCTTTGCACACTCACAAGAGGAGCTAGAAAAGTAAGTCTCTCCTGTGCTAGAAAATGTTTACTCCTTTGTTCTGCCATTACATACAGGAATAATTTATCAGAACTTTAGAAGTTTGTGGGAGGGCTTCTCTACATGTTACCTTAAAAAGCATTTAAACTGTTAACTTCTTGAGAGTATAACTGGGGGGGGGGGGGTTTAATGTAAAGTTTAGCATGCATATAACCCTCAAGGTAAAATGCAAATGTTGCCTTATCTGGCAATAATAGATTTATAAATATTTTAAAACATGAAACAAGCATGCACTATACAATGTACTGAAATAAAAAAATAAGTCTTTGTTGCCTTTGGCTGCGTTCAGGGGGGCAGATCCAGGATGGGTGCAGTGGTATAGTTGCACCCCACCTTCCACAGTGTAGGTCAAGTGCCAGTGGTTCCAGTTCCTCGTGACCCTAGATGCTTCCGTCCTCTCTGGAGTCCAAGGTGTGGCTGGAGCCCTGGGCTAGTGTGGAAAGTCCAGGGGGACCAAGCAGGGAACAGGTGAAGGAGGGACCCGTCCACTGCCATCACTGTCCCTAGGTGACCCAGAGGTGGGGTGCAAGCCCCAGGACCACTGCTGCTCTGCGCCAGCTGGGGGCTGAAGGAAGCAGCTGTGCAGAGTGCTTTCCCAGGCTAAGCCTAGCACCCTGTGGTGCCACTCAGAAGCCGTGGCTGGAGTGGAGCAGGAATGGTTCTGGGGCTCCTCCCTACTCCTGAGTTAGCTGGAACAATGGCAGCAGTGGGCAGGTCCCCTCTTCCTATATCCAGAGGCAAATCCTGGGTAATTCTTGCTGAAAAATGGAAGGAGGGATGGGAGAGATGCCTTTGAGCATTGCAGGAGAGGGTGTTTTTTGAGTAGGCTAAGGGAGAAGGATGGAAAAATTTGCCTGCTTTAGGGACAGAATAGTCCCTGGCAACTGCTGCTGTGACATGGTCTGTCCGCTGGAGGGAGTGGGCTGCACTCTCCTTGAATTCTTAGATCTGCCCATAACTGCATCCAGGTATGTGTACTTACGTTTTCCAATTCTTTTTGGTGATCACTTCAACTTTTTAGTCAGGTGAGAGAGTGTTTGGATCTTGTTATCATTCAGATGTATTCATCTTGCTTAGTCATCTTTATAAGGCTTTTATATGATTTAAGAGTTGGAAGCTTGGAGCAGGCCCTGCTGAAAGCTGTCTTCCTTTACCAGAAACTCATCTGAACTTGTCAGCTTGTCTATTCTTCAGTGACTTATAAACAGTTAAGTCTAAGGTTATAGCATACTGAAAATAGCAGCTGGGCAAGTGAATTCTGTGATATAGTCTTAGTACAGCAATTGGACATTTGAAAGATTGTAGCTATGTTGGGATGAATTGCCTGACTTAAGATGGCATTTTCAATGGAAGATATGAAACTTGCGTTGCTTGGTTTATAATTTCTCAAAAGTCCTCCATTTTGGGGATGGAATTACCTATGATTGTTTTCAGTCCAAAAGTTAATATTTATAAGTTAGTTAAAATGCCAGTCAGATATTGAGAAATGTCACATGAATGTTTTGGGAGAGTTTTATGTATTTTCTTTCAAATAAGAAAGAAACAAAAACCCAGTGAAATAATACAGCTGTATTTTGTTTGTACAGAAATAATGGAATCCTTGTTCTTGCCTCTTTTCGTTAGACTAGGGTTGTTGGGGGAGAATGAATGCCTTACATCTAATTGCATGCTCTAGTCATCATTTGGAACAGGGGTAGGCAACCTGAGCCATGCATGCCACAAGTGGCATAAGTAGCTTCTATGTGGTACGCAGCAGATCAAGGAACACATCAATAGATAGGGCAGGGAGCAGAAAGCAGAGGAAGAGATCAAGCAAGAGCGTACAGGAACGGGAGCAGAAAGCAGAGCTGCTGCAGAACAGGAGGGGGAAGAGGACTGGAATGGTACTCGGGATTATCTGGTGGTGTGCCTGCCACAAAGCTTGTTTTCCACTAGTTTGGAAAATAATTCTCTCTCTCGTCTTCCACCCTCTTCCTACCCATCTATTTATATTGGCATGCATGTAATAAATGTAACTGGAGCAAGGATAAGCTAAAGCACTGGGGCTAGAAATCTTCATGTTACTAGTTTTGATCAGTGATGATACAGATATTCAAAGTTTTGCGCCCACCATGAAGGAGACTTATTTTCTTTCCTTCCATTTCAGTGTTCATAAAATTCTAATTGACCAAGCTTTTCAGGATGGTTAGTACTTTGGGGAGTCTGTTACTTTAACTCTGAAACAGTTATATGTGAGGGGTCTCCCATCTATTTTGCAGATGAAATCTTGTGTGTCAGGACTGGATTTGGCTGCATCGGTTGCAATTCTGCTTAGAAGATGTAAAGTTGGTGTAAAGTTGTGGTTTCTAAAGACGGCTTAAGAATGTTGAGCTATAATTCTGACCTGGGCCTTTGTCTAGTTAACTCCAATGAAGAGAGGTTGGATTCATGATTTAGAAAGTTAGAAAATTTCTGAAGAAGAGCAAAGTGCTGGCATATCTTAAAATAACGTTTTCTTAGAGATCTGCTGAAGGAACTTGCCACTTATTTCCTATGTCTTTTTTTCAAGGAAGCCATTGAGAATGTCATGATAGAGCAGCTCTGGGAATGCCTAGAGCACTGAGATTTCTGCGGTACCATTACAAACTTGGTTTTAGATCTGTTATTGAGATAGTTAGAACTGTAGTTTCATTGGCAGGTGGATTCCCTTCTTGGCAACCAACAAAGGCAAAGTGTCCATATTAAATATTTTAGCTGGCTCTTAAAGTTTTTGATGCATTTGTTCACACAACAGGACTTCATGGTGTTGCTTGAGTGCTTTTTTCTTCTGCCTTGAGGGAACCCAAAGGGTGGTATGGTGTGATTGCTAGTCTGGCTGAGGACTTTCTCATGTATCATGCCAAAAGGATGTATTCTGTCACCTTTTGTTGAATGTGTCTGTTGGGAATACTGTGTTGTGTTCAAATCTGTAGTGCTTTCAGTGTGCTAATGACATTGCTGTGTCAGTCCTCTTCATTATATCCAAATGCCATACCTACTCGACATTTTCTGCCCAACTGAAATCAGGACCAGGAGGAGTTCAGTTTCTGGATGGGGGTTGAAATTAGTACCTGGATGAGAGTTTAATCCAGTTATAACATGATGTGATGCTGATTGTCGGAACTAGATTACAACCAGAGCAGGTGATAGAGTTGATAGGTATCCCCTTGATGGAAAGAATTTTGCCTTTTATGAATAGAGAGCATGGTTTTGGGATCCTAATCGATTCCTCCCCCCCCCCCCTT